TGACGCTCTGAGTTCTCCTTCTCCTGACAACACTGTTTATAGTGCTGGTCATGAGTATAGGAGACCGGACTGCAACAATAGGGCGTCGCCTACGGAACCTCAACTTTTCAGAAGTGGTCGATTGCACGACAGTCAAGGACCAGGTCCTACCGTGGTTTCTTGCTGCAGTCGAGACCAGCTGACACTTTGAGGTTACCTCCTCATGACCTTGTTGTTCGCAGCTTTGATCAGGGGCATAGGTTGCCCCGCGAGTCTCTCGGGTTCTCCTCTTCTGGTAAGAGTTCTATCTCTACACCCACTTCAGCTGCTGGTTCATTACCCGGAAACGAAGTATGGGCGCGGAGGTCCGCTCTCCCCGGGGGGGTAAGTATGTAATGAAGCCTGAGGGCGAAGCTCGGGGCTTGCCTCGATCGGGTCGCGTCTTACGTTAGATTCGTAATTTTGTTTGGCTGAGGGCTAACCGAGAGACCTACCTGTAAGGAAAATTCGTGAGGGACATATCTGCGAATTCGGGAAAATACAGGCCCTTACTAACTGAATTTCCTACAGCTACCCTAACTGTGAATAGCAGACCCGGGCTACCCCTAGGACAGCCAGACCCTATAGGCCTAAGCTGATAGACGGTCCTATAGCCTATAGCCGGGTTGGTAGAGGCCGAGAGGCCGAAACAGAAATGGTACCGGTCGGTCAGTCAGTCCGGTCTAGGTCGAGTCTAGGCTAGTGTAGTCTATAGATAGAATGGGCACATCGGTTCAGGGTTTTTGGCAGTTGGTACCGAGTACATCACTGTTGCGCTACTCGTGAACCGGAAGTGGTGACGGCTCAGCGTGGAAGGAGACAAGCATAGCCAGACCTTCGGAGCGCCGGCCATAGCTGGGACCTGCGCTGTACTCTGCCAGCACACAGGGGCTGACAGAGGTCTGGGTTATCGAAGTCTGCTGGAGGCGAGAGAGGTTGGTGCCCTGCTGGACCCTCCTCCGGAGTGGGATTCCAGGGTGGTGATGCTGCAAGCATAGCTGCAGCTTCTTCCTCAGAGGTCATCTTGTCAGGGGTTGGTGGCGCTGCTGCAGACTTCCACTCGGGAAGTCTTCCGACACTTCGTCATCATCAGATACTGTGGCATTGGTCTTCTTCCTAATCCTCTGAGTGGCGCTTGGCCTCAGAGGCCTGTTTCAGGGTGGCGCTTCCCTCAGGAGGCTGTATTTGGGTGGCGCTTGATGTTTCATGGGCTCAGGGGTGTTACGGGTGCTAATCAGGGTTGGGGAGTGAAGCGCTGCTCACTTCTGAGCAGCGCACTATAGTACTGAAGTTATCCTGACAATTCGAGACTCTGAGTTTAATAAACAGTGTGTAACTGGGTTTGGACTATCATCGTTTCATTGTTTCCTGGATGTGATCTGCTCGGCTTTTCTTTATGAGTGGTTGTGAGGATTGAGTGGAGTAAATTGCACTTTCAGTGTACCCGGTCATATCGCATGGCCAAGTCTTCCGCTGTGTTATCTCTCACTGTGCGGTGTGATACTCCTGTCCTCTCCCCTTCCTTCTGTGTATGTATGGGCATACATGGAAGTCTATGTGAGTGAGTGTTGGTCATCAGACAACAAACAACCAGAATCATAACACGCTTACCAAGGTCCGCCTCGTGCTTTCTCTGTTGTAACTTGTTCCTAGCGCCACCTTCTCAGCCATTCACCTTTTTCTCAGTTGCAACTCCCCTAAGGCTTCAAGGTTGTAGGTGTGAACTGATTTCCCTTCCTCACCTGGGTGCGCGAAAGGGGGGGGCAGGGGTGTAGGGGTCTCTTATACACATCTAGATGTGTATAAGAGACAAGGTTGTAGGTGTGAACTGATTTCCCTTCCTCACCTGGGTGCGCGAAAGGGGGGGGCAGGGGTGTAGGGGGGGGGGGCGTGGGTAGGGGAGGAAGTGAGGTGAATGGCCGGGTGGTTTGGGAATGGGAAGGGGGGACAGATGGGGGGTGGGGGGGACACCGGTGGGGCAGCCGATGGGAGTGGGGGAGGGGGGAAAGGGTGTGGGTGAGGGCGGGGCTGATGAGAGGGGCGGGCTTCCCTGATCCCCCGGATGGGGAAGGCACATACAGGAGGGGGAGGTATTGTTGGTGGCGGTGCTGACGGCAAGGGGGAGTGCGCTGGAGGTGGTGACTGTGCCCGATGCAACGGGGGCGAGGGGGCCGGTTGGCCCCAAAAGTCGGATACTGCGAGAGGGTGGTGGCCCAGGAGCGGTGTGAAGAAGACATCGTCTGGTCTCATTGTCCATTGAGCCTCATGGGACAACCAGTTCTTCCCGACCACTTTTCCTTAAATCGTGAGCTGACACATTCTCTTATGGCGGTCTATCCATAGGAGTGTGAAATCTTCCATAAGTTGTTGTTGCCTGTCCCGGTCGGAGGTGGAAGCCAGCTTCTCGTGCCGCTGTTTTCCTGCTTTGATGAAACTGGTGTGCAACAATTCGACGATATTATGGGCTTTTGCTTGAGGGGCAGCGAAGGGAAGTTCCTTCCTTTCCACCAAACACTGCATCCTCCAGATGGTCATCAAGATAGCTAGTGTAGTATGTTTAAACAGGTTGGCTTGAAAGGGTGACCAAGCTGACGGGTAGTCTCTTTGTTTTCTGAGGAGAATGTGGCCCATCCTCCAGGGGAAGTGATTGTCCGTCAGATGCTGCCACAATGCATCCCACCACTTCCAAATCTGGAGGGCGAGAGGGCAGGCCAGGAGGCAATGCTCCAGACCTGCCCTTCTCCGGGGATGTGCTGCGCCACATTGTGAACAATGGGGGACACCTGCTGGTTATCCAGGCTGGGTTAGGGAGACACATATGTGCGATTTGCCACTGAAGGGCCCTGTGGGACGGGGGAATGAGGTGGGCATAGGCCGACCACGGGATATCTGACAGTTCTTGCGCTGTGAGTGGTGAATCACCGTGCCACCTGCTGAGAACATGCTGGGTCAAAGGGTGCGGTTTGTGAGCCTGCTTTTATCCCATTTTTACCGTATATTGCCAAATGGCGGTAGTCTCTCTATGCGGTCACTCCCATTCAGCCGGGTCGAAGAGCAAGGCACAGTGGCACACAGGGGGGTAGCCATTTCATATGTGAGGAATCCTTCACTCTCGTCCCCCACCACGCGTACCCTAGCGAGCCGGCTCAAAGGCAGGTGACGATCCTGTTCCTCATTCCTGGTTAGGAGTGCCCACCTAGCGTCCGCCGCCCAGTAGGTCGGGTTCGTATGCTTGCAGTTTTGTCTCATTATCAACATCTCTCTGTACTTTATAAATGAACATGGGATGGGACCGGCATCGTTCGTAATGACCCAGTCGTCCTTTACCACTGTTGAACCTTTCTTCAATGCTATCACCCACCTCAGCGTGACTGCAGACTGCAGTTTATTTGCATGTTTTTAATGTGTCTCAGTTGTGACCGGAGCTGGTGGGCGGTCTTCCACGTTCCTTGCCGAATGTCCCGTAGATCCCCCACCGAGTTTAGTCCCCGCTGCACCCATCTGAGCCAGTGAGAGGCCACGGAGATGGAGAAAGGGGATCCCTCTGCGTCAAGGATCTTGGGGTTCTCGAAGAGTGGCTGGCGCCATACTTCATGCCATCTGTCCAGGGGGGGGTGTTGATAGGGCCCATCTCTCTCCATAGAGTAATGCTTTCCCACAGTGGATCATTTTTTAGGTCCCCCTTTGAGGCCTGTCTGGACGAGCCATCCGCAGCTTCTCTTGGGGGGCCTGGTCGAGACCAGGTAGGGTTTGGCCAGCCATTCAGTGCCTTGGTGTCTCCACTTCAATGAATGTATGCCCGTTGGTCAGGCCCATTCATCCCGGCCTTCCCTGACAGGCTGTTTAGCCGCAGCCTACCGCTCTGTGTGTGTGGTGTGTGTGTGTTGCATATTGTAACGTGCAGACCAGAACAAGAACCGACCTTTCAATACAAAGTACAAGATAACACAGCGGAAGACTTAGATACCAGTGATCCGAACAATCAAT